CGCAAATAATTGGTATGTAATGTTTCACGGTAAATATAAAAATTGTGACAAGCGTTTATCCACCTTTCAACCAGTAGCTGAGCATAAAGTCATTTTTCTCTACCACTGTTCTACAGGTGGCTGGGCATTACGTCATTTTCCCCTACGACCGGTAAAGCAGTGATCAGGACTCACGGGGTTAAATCAACCAAACAGAAAGTCATCCAAGTGACAATTAGTACAAAAAAAATTGGTCAATACCAGGGAAATGAAATAACTGTAAATCTTGGAGTTTACAGTAGTGTCAGTAACATATGGTACACTGGAATCAGGATTTTTTTTTAAATACCAGATGATGATGATATTGATGCCTGCAAGTAGATTATGAAAAACATTTGAAATTTCAGACGAGTTAATGTTACACAGTCTCTAAATATCTGGTTTAAATGGGAGAACGTAAGAAATAATAACAAGTTCTTTCTTTACACTACTTACATCGGTTGGACTGTTTATCTTTATTGCTATATTCACGATGTTTCGGTCGTTGTACTCTCCGGCCTTCTTCAGGTGATATACGTTTGAATTTCGAGTCGGACCCTTTTTCTTTATTCACGGGAGTTGATTCTTCTAGTTCCACGTGCCATGCCTTTTCTGGATATCTCAGTTTCAGTTAATTCCTTTTTGTAACTTAACTCTCCAAGTCTTAGTTCACCTCTGCTCTCTGAATTCCCTTGGAACTTCTCCGTACGGCCGAGCGATGTGGGTGGGTAAAGTCTGGGCAATGGACGAACTCCAAATACTATCGCCCAGTCCTGCAGCCTGGAGAGGCAACTCCATTCACACCACTTTAGTTTTTAGTTTTGACAAAAAACAGGGTGCCGCCTTTATCTCGCGATATAAATGGATACTTCTTATATATTAGTAAGTATAATATTAAATATAAGATTCTCATTAGTAAACTATTGCCCAACAGTAACCCCTATGTAAATAATAATAATAATAATAATAATAATAATAATGCATTAAAAACTATACTCTCAGTTAAAACTTGTACTGACAAGTGTAGCTCACACATGACAAAGAGCTTTACCTATATAAAATATGGCGGTTTTTTACAAGCCATTTGAGACCCGGAATGAAATGTGTATACAACAGATATCAAAGGAAATAATAATAATAATAATAATAATAATAATAATAATAATTTTTTTTTTTTTTTTTTTGTAAGTGGAAAGTGTCATGATGCCATTTCTAACCTTAGGTCCCTGGGCGGGACCCGGAAAGAAATGTGTAAACGCCAGAAATCAAAGAAAGAAAATAATAATAATAATAATAATAATAATAATAATAATAATAACCTTGAAATAGAAATCTCTAAAATGTGGCATATGGGAACATCAACAATCCCTGTTGTAGTTGGAGCCCTAGGACTGGTTGGAAAAGATTCCAGTAGACTAATTGAAGGGATTTCTGGAAGTCCATGCCTCAAGGAGATACAGAAAATTGTTCTGACAAGTACAGCCCACACCTTACGAACGGCTTTATCTATGTAATCATTTTTTTTTTTTTTTTTTGTCAGTGGAAAGTGTCATGACGCCATTTCTAACCTTAGGTCCCTGGGCGGGACCCGGAAAGAAATGTGTAAACGCCAGAAATCAAAGAAAATACAATAATAATAATAATAATGGTTAAGAGTAGAGCCCGTTTTAAGAAAAGATAAAGAAAAGAAAAAGAAAAAAGAAAACACACGTTTGACAATGTTAAACAATATTTCAAAATAATATCTGTCTTCTTTAAGTTAACAAACAGAATTAACAACATTTACCGGCCTGAATGTCCGAGAAATTTTCATAGAATATCATGGAGAATTGTAGTATAAAAACAGTGAAATCGACTTTTTGTTTTTAACTCTAACGCTCCTCTGTGGCTAAATCGGTAAAGCACGTCAAGCTATATGACGGTTCCGTATAGGATACAGGTTCGATTCCTGTCGGAGGACGTGTATCCTCTATGACGATTTCTCGGACATTCAGACAGTAAATATTTTAATACTTTTTATTATAAACAGAGCATTTACATAAATAGTTGTATCTATAAAAAAAGAATGTATAAAAATGTCTTAATGTATAAATATATATCAATCTACAAAATTTGCATGTCTTTTATAAGTTTTTGTAGATTTCTACTTGAATTTTATAAAGACTAGAATTTGAAAAAGACAAACATTCTTTAACATTGTCAAAAACTTTTTTCTTTCTTTTTCGTTTTTTAACTGTTCAAAAATATTGGAATCATTTTGATTCATAATAATAATAATAATAATAATAATAATAATGCACTGATTCTACACCAAGAATGGCTTGCGTGACTTTTGATATTACGCGATTGGAGAGTTAAAATATACACTTTTTATCATGGTGATTTAAGAGGGGCTGCAGTAAACATCACCTTCAGTACTAAAGAGTTGCTTGTTCTTTGCCTGACCTTAACCACTTGCACGTATCCTCTATATGCTAAAGCATCTCTATTCATGGACGGGAGTAGCTAGGGAGCATCACATCAAGATATCGAGTTTTTTTTTAGGTTGACATCCAAGATTTGAGTCTTAGGTGTCACATCTAGATTCTTGAGAACACCTTCAATCAAAGACCGTCTGAGCGGAAATGGTTACCTGACCTGAAGGTATTTCTAACCGGGATCCACTCAAGCTGTCCTGGGTAAGACGATAAACTACATCCGCATCCCGGGCAGTACAATAAACTATATCTAACAGAAAGGCCCCTGATCAGGCGGTTTTAAGAAGATTGGAACAACTTCCTTAATTGCTGGTGCTCCCAGCTCAACAACAACCCGGGGTGGTAGAACCTGTAAGGGTCCCAGCTATAGGCAAATATTTACCACCCCCCAAAAAGTGAGGGTCAAAACACTATGAAAGTATAAAACTAACTTTTAATAACAGCAATACTTATTTTTTTGAAAAATTATTACCAGCAGTACATTTTTAAAAAAAGAAAAAAATTACCAGCAACACATTTTTGGAAAAATAAATTATCAGTATCACATTGGGGGGGGGGGAATATTACCAGCAATAAATAATCTTTTCTGCATTAAATAACTCATTTAGATTGGTATGCCGTAAAACAAAGCAAACCAAACCAAAGACACCTTCTTCAGCAAGGAAAGTTGGCTCTCTGTGTCCTGCCAGAAAGTTTTTCTCATCTGAGTCCATCCTTCAAAACTATAAATCAATCATCCGTCCTTGTATGGAATATTGCTGTCATATATGGTCTGGTGCTCCCGCTGTACGTCTCTAGGTCCTTGGCAAAATGCAGAGACGAATATACAAGATGATAGGTCCTGAACTGGCATCTAGTCTACAATCCCTATACCACAGATGTGCTGTGGTCTCCATCTGTCTCTTCTAAAAATATTTTCCCAGCAACACAGATCCAACGATCTATTTTCGCTGGTTTCCGGACTAGTATAAAACTCTCCTCCTCTTATTTGCTTCCCGATGACTATAATCTTCAAATATTCAAGTGTAATGTCAATCGACATCTGACTCCCTGAACTTGTTCCCCATCCTTCTCTGTAACCTTTCCTCAAACACGCCTCTTTACCATTGTACTCAATTCTCTGTAACCCCTTGCGTGCTAGTGCTACCCCCGCCTTGCTTGGGGTGAATTGCCTAAAACAAAGACCTGAAGTGGAACTCGTAAATGTTATTCAATGCTCTAAATGCAGGAAAACATAGTCTGGTTCCCTGTACCACACATGCAAGTACTTGACTCCTCGTGTAATCCATTATTTTTACAAGAGCCAGATCAGGACTAAAATGGAATACTGCTGTCATATTTATGTGGGAATTGCTCAGTTCTCACATTCAAGTCTCGAAATAGTCTAAAAGCGTTTCCGCGTTCTTGTGCGCAACAAATAATTTCCTCCCTACAACACCTCGCTACTTCCATGGAAAGTGCTCAAAGGAACCCTATTCCTTATTTCCACCTGTCCTAACCTTCCCGATTAGGACCCAGCATGCTAGCAAATCACCTTCATTGCTTCCGTATTCCATTGGTGAGAAGTAAGTTCCACTCAAACAGCTTCTTCCGGAAAAGCAGTGATCTGTGGAACCGACTCACAAGAGCATATTTTTGTGATCACTAAAATGTTAACCTGTTCAAATCTAGGGTTTACCGTTATCTTCCCAACATATCCGCATAATCTATGCCTCTTACTCTGTAACCCTCTACCAGGGGTGGGTCCTCTGGGTTTTGCACAGGGTGAACATCAGTCGCTGCCTCTATGGACACCAAACGAAATAAAATTATCGAAAATCTATACTATATTGTACATATATATATATATATATATATATATATATATATATATATATATATATAATGAAAAACAGACCACTTTAAGGTACCATTACTGTGAAGAACAGAGCTAATATTTAATGAAAAACAGACCACTTTAAGGTACCATTTCATCGTCCTTGGATTTACCAATTCGGTTTACCAAGTTCTTCATTATATTAATAATATATGATATATATATATATATTGCAGATTTTCCTTTTCTTATATGGCTTTGTGTTACGATAATTTAAACATTTAAATAAAAGTTTCTGATGATTCAAATTTAAGAAGGGGAAGATACGGAAGGGATATAACTCTCATTGAAATTTTAAACCAAAATTTATTCATCCGAGATAGTAAAAAAAACACGAATTATGTGACCACGTCTTACTTGTCAATGAAAATGCAGATATGCCATTAGTTTTAAAATATGGTCCCGTCTACCTGGGCAGAAATTGCTTATATGGGCGTCGATAATTTAAACAAAAATAAATGTTAAATGATTTTTTTAAGGAATCTGGGGAACATTTTTAAACCAATCTATTTTGTTTTTGTGTGCGTCGAATAAAGATATTCGTGGATAGGCGAGATTCAAAGCATGTTTTTTTTATGATTGATACGATAACTCCTCCGGACTGTGCCACACGCAGACGAATATTCAGGTCAACAAAAGTATGTGATAGATAGGTATTGATAGAGATAGATAGATTGATAGATACTAACAAACTTAGATAGATAGATAGATAGATAGATAGATAGATAGATAGATAGATAGATAGATATTACCGGGCTTAGACAGATATTAGCAAACTTAAATATATATATATATATATATATATATATATATATATATATATGAGAGAGAGAGATTAACAGACTGAGGTAGATATTAACAGTCTTAAATATTGATAGATAGATAGATAGATAGATAGATAGATAGATAGAATAGACTGATATATATATATATATATATGTAGAGAGAGAGATTAAAAAATTAATATAGATATTTATATATATATATATATATATATATATATATATATATATATATATATAGAGAGAGAGAGAGAGAGATTAACAGACTGAGGTAGATATTAACAGTCTTAGAAATATAGAGAGATAGATAGATAGAATGAACACTGATATATATATATATATATATTATATATATAGAGAGAGATAGATAAAGAATAAAGAGTGAGATATTAACAGACTTGAATATATATATGTATATATATATATATATATATATATATATATATATATATATATATATATATATAGAGAGAGAGAGAGAGAGATTAACAGACTGAGGTAGATATTAACAGTCTTAAAGATAGATAGATAGATAGATAGATAGATAGATAGATAGATAGATAGATAGATAGATATGAACACACATATGAAATAACATAAGGACATTTTCCACTGGTCATCTTTGTAAAAAAAAAAAATTAAAATTAAAACAACCTACACTATTTGCATTATTCGGACTATTGTCCTCCATATTTATTACAACATTTCGTCCGTTGTACGCTCCGGCCTTCTTCAGATGGTTGGATTGTCGAACTGATCCCCCACAAGACACATGGATAAAGGCGTTAGTTAGATCCATTGACAGGACTCAAAAAGGATGCTTTCAATACCCGGTTAAGTGGTGAAGTGGATAACTGAGGGGGAATAACTAACAACAGGGGATAACTGACAACTGACATCCATTAAAACATGGCACGTGGAACTAGATCAGTCTAATACAGTGAGAGTAATAAAAGGTTCAGTTTCTACATTCCAACCACCTGAAGAAGGGCGGAGCGTACCGAAACGTTGTAATAAATATAGCGGCAAAAATGAGGACAGTAGTAAGTAGCGTACGGAATACCTAATCTCAGAAATATAGACAGATACTCATTTTCCATGTTTGAAGATTCTTGTGAAGATCGTTTAAGGCAGAAGTTCCAAAACTTTTTTTGCACCATCATCTACTTTCACATGGAAAGATCTACCACTGCCAAATATTCAAAATTAGTAATTGATGTTTTGACGGGCATTTTTCCTACCTTTATAAATAGCCAACACGATAAAAAAAAGTAAAAACAATTTCTGTTCATATCTCTGAGATGAAGCATTATGATTATTTGCATCATTTATTTCGGAAATATAGACAGATACTAAAACAACCTAAGATTACACACATTTTAAATAATGCCCTTCGTAAGTTTTGAGCTGTACTTGTGAGAATTTTTTTAAATTTCTTTAAGGCATAGATTACCAAGTGTCAGTCAATATGTCTGTCGGAACATTTTTCAAATCAGTCCGAGTACTCCAACCACAGCTGGAATTACTGATGTCCTCATGTGCCACATTGTTTAGACTTTCACTTCAACATCCTTGTCTTTTTGTAGTTTTTGAAGATAAATAATAAATGTATTTAATAGGTTTGTTCAAAATAGAGAATATTTTCATAAAAAACATAAATAGTAGACGTAAAAAAAATCGTTTTGTTAAATTAAAGAAGATTTGGAGGTAAAGATGTTGTTTATAGATAGAAAGGATTGATAGAAACATTGTAAATATATTTAAAACATTTGACCAGATGATAGTCGCAGTTCATGACAAAGGTCACACTATATATATTTTACCTGCATAGGCACAACTAGCTATTATTTAAAAACGACAAATTAAAAGGTCATAGGTGAATATATTTCTTAACTATAAAAATAATTGATAAAAATATTTCAAAGATATTTCAAGCGTTTGATTAAATGAGTTATATAAAAAATAAAGTGTCACAGCTGACACTTGTGTTTGAACATAGACGGCAAGTGAAAAAACACAGGCGATCTCATTACTGGACTAAGTGGATCACGTGACCATAGCGGAAGCGCATATGTAAAGGAAGTCACGTGATGTCTAACATGTGTTCGCTACTTCTCTATCCACTATACTATACGGATCTCCATTTCTTCTCTATTCTATTCCCGATACGAAGTACTATTAGTACGTGTATTATTTCGAAGGCGTTTGATCCCAGTATTGTTCAACGGTGTATTATAATTGGGATCTGCGATTACAAAGTCTCTACTACGTTGGCGAAGTATAGAGCAAGTGTACATTGTCATCATAAAGTGACAATAAAGAGTTGTTTTGACGACACAACAAAATCTTAGTTTGAATAAAACTTGGACTGAGACATATTTTACCATTAGAATATTTTATATAAAAACCTAAATAATAGACGTGCAAAAATCGTTTTGATCAAATATTCGTCAAATTAAAGAATATACATCGGTAATATTTTTCATCTATAGATAGGATTGATAAAAACATTGTACACCCTTGTGGAAATTAATTGAAACAAAATTAATAATTACGTTATTATATACATTTTTTTATTATATACATTACAATAAAACATGACCCAGTGCTCATGTTAGTACTTCGTATGTCCATTCCACCAATTCATTCCTTGCAAATTGACCATAGATTTTCTATTGGATTTGAATGAGGGAATTTTCCGAGTCAGTCTATAGTACTTTGATTTGTTCACTGCTAAAGCTTGCCAGTGTGCTCGTGCAGCGTTACAAGTTCGTACGCTTCCTTGTAGCAACGCCCATCGCAGACAATGACTACAGGACAACTAATCAACAGCTGAGACAATAGTGTCTGAGTGTGATAAAAATCTGACGCAATCACGTTTTCAAGACCAAACAAATTTCTTCATAGACCCCGAAAAGAGATTCATATTACTGCAAACCACTGCGAATGACAAAATCTGAGGAAAAAAATAGAAATCGATTACACCCTGTTACCCAAGTGGTTCTAAAACTGACTGTATATTGAAAGAAAGGAAACCAAAGCAGTTGATTTGCAAAAGGGTGGAAATATATTTAAAATATTTGATCAGATGTTAATCGAAGTAGAAGACAAAGGTCGAACTACATTTATTTTACCTGTAGATTATTTTGATAAAAACAAATAGTAGATTCGAAAAAAATCGTTTTGTTCTAAGGTTCACCAAATCATATCACGGTCTATAAGTAAAGATATTTTTTATCTATAAAAAAGATTGAGAGAAAAATGTATTTAAAACGTTCTGATCAAATATTATTCGGATAAACAGAAGGTTGGACGACAGGAACTGTTCGTGGATTAGTCTGTCATACCTGTATTACGTTTGCCTTAAATCAGCGAAATTTGTCTCGTTTATGTATTCGTGTTTGCAATCAGAAAGAACTATAGAAAAATAACAGAGCCAACGTGGAAATAAATGACTACACGTCTAATCTCGTCTCCTCGTGACGAGATTACACGAGAACGAATCAGAAGCAAAATGAAATCTTAAAAAAATAAACAAAACATATTATACCAAAGAGAAAGAAAGAAAAAAAAAAAAAAACTAAAACAGTTTCAATTGTACACTTTGCAAGTTAAACACTCCATTGACAACTCGTCAAACGAAATGTCAGTGTTTGTCTGATATTTATCTAACTTTCCCGCCACACGGAAGTGTGCACGTGTGAATCTCTGAAGAAGAGGCTTGGTGTAGGTGTGGACAGTTATGGCGTGTTCCTCTTTAAGCGATAGAAATCTCTATTTTTATTACGACAAATACGTACAGAGTTCATCCAATTGACCTTTGTCTGATTGGAAATTGTCTTGGTTATTCGCAGGTATTGCATGTAGTTTTAAGCAACCTTAGAGTTAACGCCAGTCAGTTGTCCGGACGGCTGTTGTTGATTGTCGGGACGGTGGTAGTAAAGGTCGGGTGTCGGTCGTGTGTGAGATGTGGTTGGGTGGAAGACAGCTGATTGATTCGGCTGGGTATTCACCGTAGAGAATGGACCATAACCGAATCAAACACTTTTCTGTCCAACTTGGCAACCGATCCAACAAAACTTTGGTCTAATTAAACTGCGATGTAAAGAGCTGGTTAACCTTTACCATTGGAGTTAAGAGGTTTTTTGAACAGTGCTGACCCATCGCAGACTTCTTGGAGTTCAAAGCTTTATCTATTCGGTGCTGGCGTAAGGGTGTGTAGGCAAGGTTTACCATTTCCGAGGAGACATAATTGAAAATTGATTTATGTGTTCAATATTAGCAACATCATCAACTTCCTTATTAATTTTTACTTCCGGTACACCTTCCAACCTCAATCGAAGCTATGAGATACCTGGTAATTTTCGGCAAGTTTCGAGTAGAATGACGTTTACATCAAATGTCCACAACATGGCGTCTCTCCCCAAATCTGAACTTGTTATCTGATTGACCAGACTGAATGACCTCAAATTTGTAAGGAATCTAGACAAAATTAAGTAACAGAAAATTTCGTATAGATCCAATATATAATATTTTTAGCAATTAAAGGAAATTACTCTAACAAAGATTTTATTATTATTATTATTATTATTATCATTATTATTTCCTTTGGTTTCTGGTGTATACACTTTTCTTTCCGGATCCCAACCAGAGACCTAAGATCAGAAATGGCATCCGGACATTTTTCAGTGAGCTGTTTTGAAAAAAATCAAACATATTTTACACAGACAAATAATAATGAGGGCTGTACTTGTGTGTACAATTTTTTTTTATATTTCTTTAAGGTACGAGCTACCAAGGATTCCTTCAGTGAGTCAATTAGAATCTTTAACAAATATTCTGAGGGCTCCAACTACAACTGGTATTGTTAGTTTCCTCATGCGCCACAATTTTGAGATTATTATTAGTAGTAGTAGTAATTGTAGTATTAGCATTAGCATTAGTAGCAGTAGTAGTAATAGTCATATGAATAAGTCTGATGGTCGGGTACCTGAGCTAATTTCCGAAAATGTTATGCGACATCGAGGAGAAAAGTATTTTAATCTTTAAAAATAGTTTGTGAATATATTATTTCTTCACGCAGGTCTAGATAAAAAATATATATATATATATATATATATATATATATATATATATATATATATATATATATATATATATATATATATATATAAAGTGCATGTATATTTGTATATATTTGTATGTGAAGTGCATTAGTTATAAATTGACTTGAATTTTTACTGTACAGTATTTAAAGTATATGGTTAAGATTCAACCACACACAAATAAGAATAAATATTTGCTATCTATAATAAATATTTCCTTTTCGTAATGTTATATAATGGATGGTTGATCTATCTATCTATCTTTCTTTCTTCCTCTCTCTCTCTCTCTTTCTTATATATATATATATATATATATATATATATATATATATATAGGGAGGGAGAGAGAAAGAGAGGAGGCTGATTTATCCTTATATATATATATATATATATATATATATATATATATATATATATATATATATATTTCAACCATATATTGTATTGTTGCTTATATTTCAAAAGAATATGTGCGTAGGTATGGTAGGTGTCTTTTTACCTCATATTTACGCACT